CATTGAGATAAAACATTCAGTCAATCTAGAACGATGAGTCAGTTCAATGGAAAGGACCAGGAAATGTATACTTGGAGATATGCCACTACAAGCATTGGAAGGTTGACAAGCTAGGGTCTTTCTGAAGCATGCATTTTATACTTAATAAAGGAAAGAGTTAAGACCTTTTTGGCAAATTAATATAATTCAGGATCTTAGTAATTCATCCAAATCAGTAGTATGAGGCAAAGCAGGTACTAGTATCCAAGTGGGAGTGTAATATATGTTGTTGAACTATATTATACTTCTTCAGGCTACTTACTCTAATTCTTCTGTGGTCTGTTTATTCCAATAAATTTAGAAAAGGTGGTGAACTTTCTACAAGCTTACAAATTTCTTTTACACTGCATAAAACTAGATTGATGTAGTTGCTTACTGAGAGATGATTAAAATCAGCTTCCAAGGTCCATTACTTTACTAGATTTTGGACCAAATATATATGTGTATTATACTATACACATGTGACTATTTTTCAAAGAAATGTCTACTTTTCATTTCACCAAGTTTAATGTGTACTATGTTCCTCTTTTTGAGGAAATAATGTTTAGTTATCTCAGACAGTGGGTATATTTTTGAAAAGCACACTGAGTCTTCCTAACTAGTGATTGAAAACATGATATAAGTTGGTTGAGTTAAATCCAGCTGGTTATTAGTTGGGTGTTTAAACTATCCAAACTGCTTATACTAAAGAACTTTAACATTATGAGTTTATTTTGGCATTTTTCAAAGGTTTGGATCTTCAATTATTATTTTCCAAAATATCATAAAATACATTACAACTAAGAAGGAAAATAGCATTCGATTCAATTAAGTATTTATTGAGAATCTATTACCAGCTTTAGGCTGGTGTCTTCAGCGGGCATATTTTGTCTTTGAGGAATTTATTTCTTCTTGGGATAAAAAAACATATACTTACTATAGATAACACTTTTACATGCTATAAAAGTAAGAATTGTATTGTGTGATCAAGACAGCTATTTTTGAAGCTGGCTTTCTGTTAGAATCAGCTGAGGAGGTTTTAAAAGTACAAATTCCAAGTTTCCATTCCCAGAGATTCTGATTCAGAGGATGGTTTCTAAATGGCCCTTCCATGATGATTATTTTGGAGGTGGTTCAGTGAAAAATGCCATGTGCCAAAATAATTTTGTAAAGAAAGATATCAATTTGAATAGACTCCTTAGATTAAAATAGACTAATACATAATATTCTCTTCATCGCATCTAAGTCTTAGTAATCAGAGTCATTTAAAATTGATAGGTAATTTAATTGATGTCTCTGCAGATGTTTTGTTACATTTATCTAACTATTGTACTGACTAGGAAATATTTCTAACTGATAATTGCTGTGTGTGTGTGTGTGTGTGTGTGTGTGTCTGTGTGTTCTCAAATCATGTCTGACTCTTTGGGACCCCATGGACTGTGGCCTGTCAGGCTTCTCTGTCCAGGAAATTTTCTAGGCAAGAATACTGGAGAGGGGTACCATTTCCTCCTCCAGAGGATCTTCCAGACCCAGGGATTGAACCCACATCTCCTATGTTTCCTGCATTGGCAGGTGGATTCTTCACCACTCCAGCACCTGGGAAGCCCTAATTTCCATATATTTTATACTTATTTTAACTTATTTCTCTGTTTCTTTCAAGTTACATATTTCATAAACGTAAGTACTGTTTCCTTCCTGTCTTAATAATTTATCCCTTGAATACAGAGACCCCTTTTGGTAAGGTAGCTAATATTGGACACAGTAAAATACTGTGATATCCTAAGAAGCACAGCAAACAAAAAAATATATTCTTTTGGTCAAAGTTTCTTGTTAGGTGCTACAAAATCTCATTTCTTGTCTTCACAGTGAACCTTCTTGAAAAAAATAATCTGTACAGTAGTTAAGAGAGTTGCCACTGAGGTCAAATTCCCTGGATTCATCTACAGACACCACTTATCACAGTGACTTGGTAGATAGATACTAACATTATTAGGATTATTTTTGTCTCTCTTTTAATTGTCTTCTCTCTTAAAAATCTCTCCTTTCTTTATATCCATCCTTTTCTGTGACTTCACCACCTCCTGTGTGATAATGCTTCCCTAATAAATTGCCGAATAGTACAAATCTCCCTTTTGGAGTCTGTTCAGCACTGCCCAATAGAAGTACAATGGGAACAAGGAGTCTTAACCACTGGACCACCAGGAGAAAAAAAAAAAAACAAAAAACCACTACAATATTGTAAAGTAATTAGCCTCCAACTAATAAAAATAAATTTAAAAAAAGAAGTACAATGGGAGACACAGCTATAATTTTAAATATTCTAGTAGCCAATTTAAATAACAAGACCCAAAATAGGTAAATTTAATAATATAGTTTAACACAGAATATATAAAATATTAAACATTTCAATATAATGTAATCAGTAAAACTTAATGAGATATTTTCATACTATCTGAAATCTGGTGGTATTTTACACTTAAGCACATTTTTAATTGAAGTAGTTGATTTACAATGTTGTGTTAGTTTCTGATGTATATAGCAAAATGATTCAGGTGTGTGTTTGTGTATATATAAAAATATATATGAGTACATATATATATGTATACTCTTTTCAGATTCTTTTCCACTATAAGTCATTACAAGATATTTTGAATGTAGGACCCTATAGTATATAGGAGGACCTTGTTGTTTATCTATTTTATATACAGTTATACAGCAGTGTTACGGCACATCTTAAATGTTGATCTGCTTGGTCTGTATCAAGATTTTATAAATTTTACAACTGAAAACTAGATTTACATATCCAAGTATTCCATGCCTACTTACAAGTCTTCTAATAACTGAGTCAAATATAAAAAAATATTTTTCTTTAATAGCCACATCCAACTTGACAGAATTTATCCATTTTTTTTAAAAGAAGAGCTGATTTAAATTTGATGCAGAAACATACAAGTTTGAAAACTATGTCTGTCTAAGTAAATTCACTTACTCTTGTGTCAGCCTAGTATTATTAACATGAGATTCACAGGGATACTGAATAAATTGAAAAGCAAGATTATCAATATCAACAAGAAATTCTTCAACTTTTTTGCAGACATTTAAAAAAATTGCCAGTTGCAATTAACATTTGCATATTGATCATATTAGGGAAATATGTAAAATCATTATTTGCTTGTATATTAGAAGTTTCAGTTTCAACATGAATAATCTTAACTTTTCCAACTACTTCTACTTTACAAGTAAACTGACTATCCTTGAAGTTTCAAATTCAGTACACATATATAGTGTGATGTTGGTGAGGGAACATATATCCATGTGCCATGTTTTTGTCATTGGTTATTGGATAATTGGCAGTTATTCCTTTGTTTCAAAAAAATCTTAAGAGTTGACAGTTCAGTGAATCCTTGTAAAACTCTTCCGGGACTTAACCAATAACCATTGGAATAAAACACAAGATCATTAAATTTTCTTGTTTTTTTTTCTTTTGAATTCTGTAAACTAGTGATGATTCAGAATATTTGCATGTATATACTAACAATTGTATCTATGACACTTCCCATTGAATCTGTGTTAAAAACTGAGAACAAACATTTTCAACATATATAATACTTCAGATGCACTAAGACAAACACCTCTAGTTTGAAATTACAAACTACAAACTTAACTGCGTGGATTTTTCATCTAATATAACTGAAGCACTGATCATTGTGATAGAGACTAATTTTTTTAATACCTAGCTGAATTTCTTCTTTAATGAATGTAAAAGATGTTAAAATATCTGTTATGGTTCTAATTTTTAGATAGTGAATTGGCAACATTTCTTCCTAGATTTAGAAGTCCACTGAGAAAAAAAAAAATTACCAAAGTCTCAGTTGGCCAGTATCCCTTATTTCCTAACTCTTACCAGAGTGCCCGTTCTTAAAATGCATATTTGAACAGGTACTCCTTTGATGATAAGTGTTCAGGAGATCATCATGCTTTCATAGTAAAATCCAAGCTCCTTAACATTCAATTTCATAATCTTGGCCTTCCAATCTTCCCAACTTCACTTTACTACCCCCTCCTCCGAAACTTTGTTCACATCATGCTGAAATAGTTGTGGTTGCTCCAAAAGACCATTCTCTCCTACTTCTCAGGGCCATTTCACTTTCACTCCAGAAAGAAACACCTCTTCTCTCTCCTTCCCATGCCTGTCTTCCTCCTGCTAGTCTTTCACAACTCAGCAACCTCTCCTGACCACTGTCTTCTCCTGGGCAGCCTAGAATTAGTGTCCTTCGTTTCTGCCCTTCTCACCCTATGACCTCTGAACACTATCCCGTAGCACTTATTACACTGTACTGTTCTTATCTCCACCAGATGGTAAGCTCTGTGAGAGCAAGGAGGGTGCTTTTGGTCCCTATACTACCCCACACCCAGAATGGCCCATGGTATGTAATGGGTGCTCACATTACATTCGTAGTGTAAGTTTCAAGGAATACCTGACTAAACTTGTATGATAAATAACTATCCTGTATGTAAGGGGTTCTACTTTTCACTTTAGGAGTAATGCATGACTTTTATTTTTTATTTTTATTTATTTATTTTTTCATTTATTTTTATTAGTTGGAGGCTAATTACTTTACAGTATTGTAGTGGTTTTTGTCATACACTGACATGAATCAGCCATGGATTTACATGTATTCCCCATCCCAATCCCCCCTCCCACCTCCGTCTCTACCCAATCCCTCTGGGTCTTCCCCGTGCACCAGGCCCAAGCACTTGTCTCAATGCATGACTTTTAAATATAACAACTAACTGGTGAGTTGGACATCTTATTTTAGGATGTTAATTGACATTTTCTTCTTAGTCCTCTAAAAAGTTCTATCTAGCTCTTTATTTGTTTAGTATGGCTTAAGTTTTATAACCATATTTGTAATTGTTTATTAATGGATTTTGCTTTTGCTGCTAATAAATCATCTTTCCGTTTTTTTCTTTTGGTCCAGCTCCAACAGAGGCCACTGTGCACCCGCATCTAGGTAAGTGTTTGAGGCTCCAGGGTCCCTGACCTCAGTGCTAGATCTACTTGTTTCAGTCCTTTGCCGTGTGGGCAGGGGATACAGAGATGAGGAAACTCTCTGCCCTGTCTGATTCTCTGATCATTCATTGGAATCAGACTCAGGTCTAGATTATGCTTTAACCTGAGACCTTACTGAGGATCAGGTGATCCAGAAGCCCAGTTTGGGCTAATGGAAGGACTTTTGAACCTGTTGCTACATTTATCCTTAGAATCCAGTTGGATCTGATCTTTTGACACAGGGTCCTAATACTGAAGTTTCCCTTAAGCCTCTACCCATCATGAATAGTAGAGCATGGAGGCAATAGGCAAGGAGCTTTGAGTGTGAAAGATGTGAGATAAACTGAGTGTGAAAGCAGATCTGAGATATCTGCTTAGACTAGTGTTGTTGTTCTTCAATTGCCAAGTTGTGTTCGACTCTTCACAACCACAATGACTGCAACACACCAGGCTTCCCTGTCCCGCACCATCTCCCAGAGTTTGCCCAAGTTCATGACTGTTGAATCAGTGATGCCATCCAACCATCTCATCTTCTGTCATCTTCTGTCAACTTCTTTTCCTTCTGCCCTCAGTCTTTTCCAGCATCAGGGTCTTTTCCAATGAGTCGGCCATTTGCATCAGGTGGCTAGAGTATTGGCTTATTAAACAAAGCACCCAGTTATTTAGACAATCTCATTTTAGTTTTTGAAGAAATGGCCAAATTATCTCTTTTTACAAGCCAGTGCTAGTTTAAGCCAATAAACTATTATTATATTGTAATAATAGCATCATGTAAAGTTGCCTCCTCTCATTTTTATCATGATCTTGTCATTCTGACATGTATTTAGTGGGCTGCAGTTCTTGAGGCAAGATTGTACAGTGTTGATTGTACGGATTCTGGAGCCAAATAAACTGGATTTATCTCACCTCTGCCACTTGCTTGCATGATGATATTGGGCAAGTTACTTAATCTCTCTATGCCTGTTTCCTCACCTATAAAATGGAAGTAATGATAGTACCTACCTCCTATGGTTATTATGAGGATTAAGCGAATTTGTATTTGTGTGTGTGTATGTATATATATATATATATACATACACACACATACATATATATATATATGTATATATAATAATAATGTTTGGAAAGAAGGCAATACATGAACAAATAACCATAGAGACTTAACCATGCCTCTGTAAAAAATCTCTGGAAAGCAAATGACCTTTAAGAGTTAAATTTCTCATATATGACAGTGAAGACTGATTTTAAAAGCAGTTTCCTACACACACTATTTAATAAGAATGAAAAGAAATCATCCTAGCTGGCTCCAGCCTTTTCAGCTGTCTGTCACTGTGGGACTTGCAGATGGGTCAGTATTTGTCTCTTGGGCTTGCTTTCTCTTTCAACCTATAAACCCAATTAATTTATTTTTCTCTTTGGAAAATCTGCCTTGAGAAGCTCTACTTTTATGTAATGCTACAGCTTGGGGCTCCTCTTCTTTGGCAGATGAACGCAAGCACTTAGAAGCATGCCTTCTGGCAGCTCAGGCAGGCTGGTGACCCTCAGTGGCCCAGCCGCATCTCAGCCATATTGGGTATTTGAGAGAACGGTACCCTGTAGGCATTTCAGACACTGCATCTAATTGCTCAGGGGAATCATTAAATCACTCCCAAGCACAGAAGACATCACAGTGTTCTCTCCAGTGTAAATCCATATTCTCCCTGTTGTTGAGCCTAAGGCTTTGAGTCTGAACAGCCATTTCTTTCAATACATGCTGATTCACTGGTTTTCCCGACTTCGTTATGTGCTTACCTACTGGCATACCTGGTATAAAGAGGGTGAGGGTGCCTGCAGGTGACATTGTCACCAAAGAGAATTTGCAAGTGAACTTTCTGGTATTTGGAGGTGATATTTAATTCCTCAATCAGTTCAATAAATTATATACAAGTGAACCCCCCAAAAGAGTAAAATATCACTTTTGGAAAAAATAAAAATTTTTGGTTATGTTTTATTAAACAGATCATATGATTTTCATTTTTTTAAAAAGCATGTGCAAAATGGTCCAAACAAAATTATGTAGACCCGGAGAATTTATACTAGCTGAAACAAATTCCCCAAGCAAACCATGGGAATCAGATGAGAAGATTTTTGAGCACCAAATTCATTTTTTACAATTTGTGTAGAAATAGTTAGCATTTCTCATACAACCGTAGAAATGAGTCTACTTACATTGTAGCTGGCCATGAAATTGTTTTTACTTGTCCATCCTCTATTCAGTGGAAATATCACATACTCCACAGATTATGAAAACATTCTTTGCTCTTGGCACAGCTTGAGTTTTTCTGTAGCTTAAAAAGAAGTGTTTAATACAATCTCAAGTGTAACAATAATATATTTAAGACTATGGATGGTTTTCTGCCATTCCTCTTGACTTCTAACATGACGTTATTTAGAAGTTTTACTTACTTGTGTAGATAATTTCTCCTGTGCAGCTCTGAAGGAGGAAATGTTAACAATTTGAAACACATTCAATTAAAAAAATGAGTGAATATAGGGAATGAGAAAAAGCAAGTCAGGGCAAGAGGGGTAGTAAGAAAGAGAAGAGGAGATGGGTTAGTAAATAACAACAATGTTAACTGACAACAAATAGCCACAATGTTCTCTTCCCTTCAATGCTCTAAAGTGAGTTAGGCACTGACTTTATTCTGGATGTGTTGAGCTGTGAGGGGCAAGTCTTGTATGACCTCTCCTTGTAGGCCAGTGCCAACCTTGGTCTTCCCACCTCTGCGACCTGGGTGACCTTTTGGTAGGGTTCTCTTTGGGGGCTCTGGTTTCCAGACTTCTAAACAGCAGAGTTATTCTTTTACTTAGTAGTTTAGGGGCACAGCAAATGCAATTAACTGCTTGTTTAAACTTCGATTTTAGTTTAAAATACTGTTATTTCTCATAAATGTGGCATGTTGACTCTTTTGCATAGCTAAGTCTATTGTTTAGTGTAACCTTTTTCTAAATTTTTGTTCTTCCTTTAGCTGAAATTCATAGTGACAGTATTATCCTACGAGATGACTTTGACTCCTACCACCAAAAAGAATTGAATCCAAACATATGGTAAGTTAAAGGATCATGCCTCACTTTGATCTGTATAAAAAGCAAAAAAAATTATGCTTCCTTGGAGTAGTACATAAAATTAAAATGCTCTTTAGCTCTAAGTTATCAGTGAGAGTTGTTCAACTAAGGAACTGGGATTAATGTCGCCTAGAGTATGTCTATTGTCTATTCCTGACTTCTTTAAGAACTGAATCGAGGTATCCCTTAAAGCCATGGGTGTGGTCAGTTTTTTTCAGTAGTACAAGTTATTTACATGGAAAACATTGTGCCTTATTATGTCTAATAATTGCTTTTATTGTTGAAGAAAAAAAGGGAAATGACTTATCTGAAACTGACAGATTATTTGAGTCATACTTCCAAATAACTTCTGTGTTATTGGATTATCGCATTTGTACTCCAGTCTTTCCTTCCAAAGCTGTTTAGAGACAACCCTATGAGATTTTGGAGGGCAAAGAAAGAATTAACCAAAACGTATACATTAGAAACTTGTTGAATACATAAATGGATGCATGAATTTGTTGGCAGTTTGTTGTATTTTTCTGACTTTGGAGAAATGAGTCTATCCATCGAGAGCTATGGTCAATCTGCATAATTTGAGAGAATATCTGAATATGTTACTTTTTGTGTACTAAATGTTTTGTGTACTTGAATAAGAGTTCAAGATAAATTAGAAGTTCTAATGTAATCAGGTTGTAGCCAAAACCCAAGCAATATTCAAGACTACAAAGAGAATAACCACTTCATCCTCAAATGTCTGCGTATGATATTAATTTATTTTTCCTTATTTTCACTGTTCAACAAATATCAAACAATAATTATTTTATTTATATGGTACATTAAAAAGGAATGTGGTTCCTTCTTTTGAGTAGCTTATAGTTCAGTAGAGAAGACACCTAAAACACATTTTTAAAAAGCTTATAATTCAGGATAGAAATCCTTGAGTGTCATAGAAGGTTATAAATAACATACTACAGTTCTAGAAAAGAAAGGCTGACTCTAGTGAGAGTTTATTGGAGAAAGTGGTCCTTAACCTGAGAATTGAAGATGACATACAGGTTTAGAGAGTGTTGATGCTTAAATACAAACAGGAACTTATGTCTTTTCTAGAAAGAAATATAGATTTAGAGAGTATAAGTATACAAAAAAATCAGACTAGACAGAGACATAAAGTCTTATGATTCATATGCCATTAAAGAGATAATTTATCAAAAAGATTTCACTTACCTCTGAACATGTTCTAAATATAAATTTCTTAAAATTACTTGAAAATCGTTATTAAGGAAAAGCTGAAAACTTTCTAAGCACTACTTCTACCCAAGAAAAATTCTCTCATTCTCCTAACATTTGGCTTTTTTATATCCCATTAATATAGATGTTATTAGATGATTTGTTTCTTTCAAGGCAAGTTCATTTGTGTCAAGCTAATTCATTTTCTTCAGTGAGTTTTCTTGACAAATACAAAATGTGACTTTTATGTGGTCCAAATTCTGTTATTTTTGAAATCAATAAAACATGATTGATTTTGCTTCACCCATTTTCATGACTGATCTGGTAGATGCTTTCTTGACCGAAGTTATGGATTTTGTGTCCCACTTACTTAACCTGTGGTTTTTCCTCCTGTTTTAGAAAACCTCTTATTAACTTTAAAAAGCCATGCACTTCTGTCTTCTATCAAATATGCTTCAGAGTAATTTTACTTTATCCCTTATTGACCACAATCTCCTTCATCTAGTCTCTATGATTAAAAAACAATAATAACAACCTAGGAAGTTCTCATCATTTGAGAGATGGCTTTGTTGAATATAAGTGGCAGAGGTTCTGAAATCAGGTCTGTCTGGGTGGACTTTCAAGCTAGCTACTTGCCAACTGGGTATCTGAGAATAGTACAAAACTTGCTTTACCTCTCTGAGCCACATTTCTTGTCAGTAAAAGTGAGCCGAGTATTTCCCTAACACCATTGTCTTAAAGTTTGATGAACCTGAAAAGGTCTGGCGCATCTCCTAATGTATTGTTGCTGCTCAGTATAAATCAGTTCCCTCTTTCCCTCTCTTATTCTCTCTCTCCTACTCTACCTTTTTGTCTTCCTCCTTCCTTCCCTTTCTTTCTTCCTCCTATGGTATAGTTGCATGTTGGTCTACTTGCCTACCCTTGAGCTCAGATATGATCCCAAATCATTATTATTAAAATATTTTTCAGTCAATTTATGTAAATGATTCCCTAAGTCTTCCCTTACTGCATTCAGATCAAAAACAGACTTCAAATTAAATATATCTATATTATTTAATATATATTAATGAAAATACAGTAGAATTATAGAGAAGGGAGAAACAAAGAGTGTTAAATATCTCAACTCCCCTTAAAGTAGACATAAGCTCCCTAAAGTTAAAAACCAATACAATCAGATATTCCAGTGAGGTATTTCCAATAACATAACAAAGCTCTCTCTTGCTTTGGGCCAACATAGGCAGTTTTCAGGCTTCCCTGGTAGCTCAGTTGGTAAAGAATCCAACTGCATTGCAGGAGACCCAGGAAGATCCCCTGGAGAAGGAAATGGCAGCCCACCCCCGTATTCTTGCCTGGAGAATCAATGGACAGAGCCCCTGGTGGGGGCTCTCAGAGTCCATGGTGTAGTCAAGTCCATGACTTGGCAACTAAACCACCACCACTACCAGGCAGTTTCACTCTCCCAGAATCTGTTTTCTTGGTATACCTACTGACTTGCGAGTTTTGTCCCTTATGATATTGTCTTTGATTTTCTTTACCCCAACTGGAAGCCACTGAGCAGCTTTGTGAAAACCAGGAAGGGGAATCCTTCCTGACAACCCATAACTTTATGCCATTGGCACACACCACCGGATAGAAAGAAGCTCAGGGTGTACTGCTTTGGGGCAAATTCCCAAGGCTCAATATATCACTCAATAATTTGTCACAAGAGAAAAGCACTCTGCTTTTATGAGCATGTTTCTTCCATGGAGTTTGAAAATCATCATGTGCATTATTTGACTTTCAATTTTTAAGAAAAAGCAAAAGGGAAAATTAAGAAACTACAGTCCCATCTGTGCAATGGTGGGGAGAGAGATCAGTTTAAATTTAGTCACTCATACTTTATTTGCTTCCGTTGACTTCATCTAGTGAAATCAACTTTTTTCCCACTTCATTTCATATTATTCTTGATATCTAAATTTCTTATCTCCTGTACAAATGACTGTACACAAAAAACAAGGAGCATAAAATGATAGTACTATTATAATGAATGAATGTACCAGCCAAGTTATTATTCCAAGTGTATGACAGTGATTGGACTAGAACCAAGAAACTTTTTACATCAACTCAGTATTGAATCTGTCTCTCTGCTTAGTTTAAATATTAGATTTGATTTTAAAATTAATAAATGTACTTAGTGAAAAGTTTGATTATATTAAAAATAATAAAAATAAACCTTCTTCCGACACTAGATCTATATTCCTTCCCTCTAGAGGCATCAGCTGTTACCAGTTTCTGTCAGTCCTTCCAGAAATTGTTTAGGCTTACACAAGTGTCACAGTTATGAATTCAGCCCACAAAATTGGGTATCAGAGAAATAAAACTTTCTTTATTCTTTTTTTTAACTCAACTTATTTTCTTTTCATTGTGTCCCTTCTACCAGTAGTGAAAACTTAATTTTGGTCAACTTTAGCTTCCCTTCTCCTATTTTTCTGGTGTTGTAGCTATGTATCAGAGAGCTTATTAGTTCAAAGGCAAGGGGTAGGGTGGGGACACACCTCTTATTCCCCAGTCCTCTGTTCCTATGGATATCCACTGAATCCTCCCTGTCTCATCTAGTTTTTGGTGACTGGTCCACAGAAGTAGCCTTCTCACCCATCCTGATCACTCACTCCCTGATGACAATTGCTCCATTTGACCCCTGCTTGAAGGCATGAAACTCCTGTTGCTCCCGGGCCTGGGCTGTCAATGTCTCTGTGACGCTCTGCTGTGCTGTCATGCCCCTGTGGTCCTTCTGCCTCCCTGAGATCCTTCTGCCTCCCTGAGATGCAGAGTATAGAGTCCTCCTGTGCTTTGACCCCCCCCCCCCCCAAGGGGGTCTCCCTATGGCGCTGCCAGAGAAGTGGCCTTTTATCTCCCATTCTCTCAGCCATTTCTGTTTGCTTTGTTCAAATAAAAAATGAGAAGTAAAGTTACAAGTGAACAGCAAAACCCTTTCATGGGAATATAGTGACACCTCAGGCTTGATGAGAGTGAGGCTTCTCCACCTTAACTTTGCCCTGATGCAGGGCCACATGCAGGTAGACCTCTGGATCACAACAACAACTCGTCAGGTCAAATGTACCGTTGAACCCAAGAGAGTGAGAGAAAGAATGTAGATAGCGCAGCACTGACTTACCAGCACTGTTGACAGTTCTCCATTATCAAGTGTGTTCAGTGTGATTACACTCCTGATGATGAAGACGGTCAGTAGAGTCTTGTTCCGATCGAGACAACCCTATAGCCAAAAAGAAAAAAAAAAAAAGAAAACATAGGAAGGACAACCTCTTATAACTAAATTTAAAAGGAAAGTAAAGACCTACAAATACACTCTATCTCAACATTTCACTTAGGCATGTTCTACTTGTGTCTCAACTACCTTTTTTATAGTTTCTTTTATGAATTAATTATTTTAGTATCATATAAACACTGTCAGTATTTCATATGAATGGTGAGAAATCTTGATTTTTTTTTTTTTATTAAAAAGAACTACACCTAATAGCAAAAAACTTGTAACATCCCAGGTACCCATAAACAGGAGAATTGATAAAATAGTGATACATTCATACAGTGGCATGCTATTCAGAAATAAAAAGGAATAAATTATTGATAGCTGAAACAACATGGTTGAATTTCAGAAATATTAAGTTGAATGGAAGAAGCCAGATCCAAAATAATTCTTACTGTATGATCCTACTTACATGAAATCTAGACTAGATGATATTATCAAAAGTGCTAGTAATTAGATTAGTGATTGT